CACCACTGCCTGACCTTTGATGTAGTTTTTTTTTTTTAAATTTATTTATTATGTGTCAGGATCCGAAGCCTCAACTACTTTTCCCTAATTGGACCGATACGGAGGCAATATCAGAAGGACATCTCAGGCTTCATTCATTCCTGAAGATCTATCTAACCGTGTTTATTCCTTAAATCTTTTATTCCCCCCAGGTAAACCAAGGTGAAAACTCATTAATATTCTTTTTCTGGGCATGCAGGTATGCAGGAATACCAGTACTGTCACACCTGGTAACTTAGTCACCAGCTTGGAATCCACACCTTTTCCCAGGCGATTTACATAATAACAAAGAGAAGGAGGAGTCCATCCTGAGTCTTTTGTTAGGTGGCTACAGGTGTCTGGCAGGATAACAGCTGTCCTTGGAAGCTAAGCATGGCCAGAGAACCTGGCTGCAAATACATGAAATATGAGCCTACAATTATGTATATAGTGTTCTGTCTGCATGTATGCCTGCAGGCCAGAAGAGAGTACCAGATCTCACTACAGATAGTTGTGAGTCACCATGTGGTTGCTGGGAATTGAACTCAGGATCTCTGCAAGGAGCAGCCAGTGCCCTTAACCGTTGATCCATCTCTCCAGCCCCCTGGTGTAGATCTTAAAGAATTAGTGTATCCTCTATCTTTACTTTAACTCTAATTCTGTTATTACTCTCCCCCCCCCCCCCAAAGACGTAATAGTTTTTCTGTGTAGCTCTGGCTGTCCTGGAATTTGAGCTGTAGACCAGGTTGGCCTCGAACTCAGGGATATGCCTGCTTTTCCTCCCAAGTGCTGGTGTATTACTAATTTTTATTTCAGACAAACTCATGTAGCCCAAGATAACCTTCAGTGCCTAACACTCCTACCTCCCAGGTGCAGAGATTATAGAAATGTGCCACTTTTCTTGGACTCTGTTATACTGTTCCTCCTATTCCTTTCCACCTGCTCTGTGGTAGGTAGTTGGTAAATCTCAAATTAATGTGATAGGTATTTGTGGTAGCTATAATAGATAGTAGGATGTGGTAGATAATTGGAAAACCTCAAGTTTTTTGTTTTTGTTTTTGTTTTTTTTTTTTTTTTGGTTTTTCAAGACAAGGTTTCTCTGTAGTTTTAGTGCCTGTCCTGGTACTAGCTCTTGTAGACCAGGCTGGCCTTGAACTCACAGAGATCCTTCTGCCTCTGCCTCCTGAGTACTGGGATTAAAGGCATGCGCCACCACTGCCCTGCTCATGCACATTATTTCAACCTCCACAGTATTTTTCTTGTTCATGGTTTACCAGCTTCTCTGACCAGCTATTGCTTCACTGCTGCCTCTGACCATCCTGCCCTTCTAGACTGAATAGTTCTCAGTATTTCTGGGCTCTTTGGATTGTCAGTGTACGTTCCAGTCCGAATTACCTGTGAACTTCTGTTCCTACTTGGCAGGTTACAGTTAAGTAAGCTATGTTTAGGTCATTGTGTCATGTCATGTTGTGTGTATTGCGTATAACCCCCCCCACACACACACATACACACACTGTGCTCCCTTTGGGAAATGCCATTTCTTTTAAGGAAGCATGCCTCCTTTCCAAAAAATGGAAAATAGGTCATTTCCTAATCCCTACATCCTAAACATTTGCTGTATGTCCATGTTATTTTTTTATGTAAAGTTTGATAAAGCAGTAAACTGTGTGAATTTTATAATCTCTTGTATGTATGATCTAGAACTGTACTGTCCAATTTGATAGCCATTAGTCACCTGTGGCCACTGAGCATTTCAAATATGTCTAGTCCCAGATGAAATATATCAAGTATAAAATGAATGTTGAAATTGAGACTTAGGATTAAACAAAAAATGTAAAGTATTTCACGAATACTTTTATATAACACCTACATGCTGCAATGACAACATTCTGGGTTTGTCACATAACAAAATTAAAGTTATTTTATTTTATTTTTTTCTAATGTGGCTACTAAAAAATTTCCAAGCAACCAGGCTTCACTTGAAATTATGTCCCTATAATCTGAGATGCTTGACTAGCTGAGTCAGAAGGATCCTAAGTTCAAGGCCTGCAGCTTGGTAGAACATTTGTCTAGCAAGGCCCTGGATCCAGTCAGTACTTACTTAATACCAGAAAAGGAAGAACAATTTTTTTCTAAGCACCTTTGAGCCTGGTATATTTCTCTTAGATAGTGCTGTTAAGTATGGTTTTATAACTGCCTTTGTCTTTCTTCAAATCAGCTTTATTGCAATATGGTTTACATTCTGTAAAATTCACTCATTTTAATTATATTATCTAGATGTTCCTACAGAGATTTGCTGTAGTCACTGCAATCCAATTTTAAAACATTTTGCCTCCCCAGAAAAAAAACCCTTATACTCATTTACAGTCACTCTCCATTCTTGTCTGTAGGGACTAGGCATCCATTCAATTTATTTTCTTGTTCTATATTTGCCTTTCTTGTTAGTTCATACAAGTAGAATACTGCTTGGTCTTTCATGGGAGGCTTCTCTCAAATCCATGTTGCAGCATGTATCTGAAGTTCATTTTCTTTATGGCTCAATAATATTCACTTCACTCTGAGTTTTAAATTTTTGTTGTTATTTATTCCTATTTCTCATTTTCGGGCCTGTGAGATGTCTCAGTGGGTCTTACCACCCGGCCTAGAGAGCTGAGTTTGATTCCCAGAGCCCACATGGTGGAAGAAAAGAACTATGTTACTCCCTTTTAGTAGCTGTAGAATAGAATAACTGCTTCTTGTTTGTTTTGTTGTTGAGATAGCGTAGTAGCCCAGGCCATCCTTAAATTTGTCAGGTAGCTCAGAGTGGCCTTAAACTTAAGATTCTCCTACCTCAGCCTTCCAGATGCTGGGATTGTAGGCATGTTAACTCCACATCCGGATAGAGATGCTTTGTTTAAACCACCATCTAGGAAACAGTAAAGTAACACTAGCAAAATGAGCTGCAGAGAAAATCAGGAGCATTATTTTCCTGGGTCTACTATCTGGGGCTTCTCTGGAACTAGGCTTTTGCATCCATGAAATTAGAATGTCTGGGAATAGATTGTTCAACAGATATTGCTTGATTGTTCTTTATGTGTGCAAGACCACTGGTCAAAGTTGAGAGACATTATAGAACAACAGACTGGGTCATTTAGGACTGGGCTATCTGGACCAAGTTTGTAAACGTATTTATATGTTTGTTTCCTTAAACAAGAAGTTTCACAAAAGTTTTAAAGATGAACATTCAATATTCAATGCCCAATGCATAATCCTTCATAAAAGAATAAGAATTTGCCTGCCAGACTCATGGCTTCTTTACCCATGTAGTCATGGAGTTTATTCCAGAAGGACTTGGGTGAGGCATACCATGTTCAGAGTTGGACTTTAAAAAAAAAAAAAGAATAGAACATTTCTGGTGATTGCTGATGGAAACCATAGCAATAATAAAAGCAAGAAATGTTTCAAGATTTACTGCTTTAAGATAAATAGTTGAAATAATAGGATGAAAGATAAAAATGAGAAAAGGTAGAAAAAAGTTATAGAATCTATATAGTAAGTTTAATATTCAAATAATAGAAATTACAAAGAATAGACAGAATGGTAGAATTAATAAAATTGTTGAATTTTTTAAGGTTTATTTATTATGTATTCAGTGTTCTGTCAGTATTTGTGCCTGCAGGCCAGAAGAAGGCACCAGATCTCATTACAGATGGTTTTGAGCTACCATGTGGTTGCTGAGAATTGAACTCAGGACCTCTGGAAGACCTCTGAGCCATCTCTCCAGCCCCAAAATTGTTGAAATTTTGAAAAATGAGATTAATCTTATTTTATATGAATGGGTGCCTTGCCTGCATGTATATCATCTGCACACTGTATGTATTACGGGTACCTGTAAAGGCCAAAAGGGTGTGGGGTTGCAGAAATTTATTAGTCACCATGTGAGTGTTGGTTATTGAACGTGATTCCTCTTGAAAAGTAATCAGTGCTCGTAACCACTGATCAATCTCTCTAGCCCTAAAGAAAATTTTCTTGAAGGATTGTTTCTTGAATCAAAGTGGCCTACCTAATATACAAATAAGACAGATTCACACCAAGATATATTTTTGTCAAACACTGAGAGCATTGTATAAGCATCTTGAAGAAGAAACAGTTTTAATTCAGAATTCTTTTAATAGCACTGAAATCTAAAAGACTTCAGAAAGAGTTCCAAATGAGCTGGGCATGGTGATACATACTTGTAATCTCAGTAGTTATGAGAATCAAATAGAATTGCCTCAAGTTCAAGGCTACCGTAAACTGCATAACGAATACTTGGCCAGCCAGGCTAGGGTAGTAAGATTGTCTTAAAGAGCAAGCCCTTCTAAATAATTTTCATTTTGGAATTCTATATGCAATCAAGTGTAAGAGACTAAACACCTCTCTTCTAAATAAGCTGTTTCTGACCATGTTCAAACACAGCAAAGCAATAAATCAGCAAAGAGAAGAGCACGGAATCTAGGAAATGAGATCTAGGGAAGATAAATGGTTCAGATGAAAAGGATTAGAAATCTGCATGAAGCTGAATGTGTTGACACACACGTATAATCCCAGCACTGGAGTGGCTGAATCAGGAGTTTGAGTTCAAGGCTAACCTTTGCTATATGTATGTGGTAATACCCCCATATCCAAAAGCAACCCCCCCCCCGCAAAAAAAAAAAACAGCTGAGAGACTTACAGAAAGGCAAAAAATGCGTAGAAAAGATGTTTGGGCTTCTACCAGAAAGTTAGGGCTCAGGTTATTATATGTATACAAAACTAAGCAAATTGAGAAAATGCTGGAGCTGGAGTTATATTTGGTATGAGCCACCAATGTGGGCACTTCTCTCTCTCTCTCTCTCTCTCTTTTTTTTTTCCTTTTAAGGCAGGAATTAAATGTGTGTACCACCATGCCTGACTGATAATGCTGGTTTTTGGTGTTTTTGTGTGTGTGTGTGGGGGGGGGGTTATGTCTAAATGGTATTTTAAAACCTATGAAACACTTCACAGATTTGCATGTCATCCTTGCGCAGGGGCTATGCTAATCTCTGTATCGTTCCGATTTTCTAGTATTTGTGCTGCCAGAGCAAGCACAACAATAGTTTAGGGCCATATTATTATTATTATGATAATCTTTTGAGACATTTCTCTTTGTAGCCCTGACTGTACTGGTGCTGGGATTAAAGGTGTGCGCCATCACTGCCCAGCTCAGATCCATATTATTTAGAGTGGTTAAGGTTAATATTCGAAAGTCAGAAGAGATGAACATGGTTGGTCCTGGGAAAGAGAATAATAGCACCTGCTGGTTTTGTAATCAATATCATAGATGCATTTGACTCCCGAAACCATGTAATAAAACAAATGAATATTAATGTGAAATCATGGTTATCTTAGTGGAAAGTACTTCTTATAATTGTATTAAAATATTATCAGGAAAGTTGAAGTGATTTGATGCATATATTTCCTACCTCTTGTGACTCAATGGACGCCCGGGATTCTGTTGTCATACTCTGTTCCTTGAAGCTTTCCTTTTGTTTTCTTTAGGATCCCACTCTTAGGTTGCTGACAACTGGAAAGCCTTGATTTATCTCAATGGTCTTAGCCTTTTTTTTTTTTTCAACCCTTAGGTTGTTCGAACAAACCAGTGTGCAGGAGAATTCGTCATCACTTTTCCTCGTGCTTACCACAGTGGTTTCAACCAAGGCTACAACTTCGCTGAGGCAGTCAACTTTTGCACTGCTGACTGGGTGAGTCTGGAGTGTGGTGTCTGGTAGGGAGAACTAGAAAGTTATAGGGAAGCCAAAGTACCGCTTCCTTCAGGCTTGGCCAAGTTCAGCTTTGAACCTGTTCACAGCTGCCTGCTGGACGCCAGTGCATTGAGCACTACCGCCGGCTGCGAAGATACTGTGTCTTTTCTCATGAGGAGCTAATTTGCAAGATGGCTGCCTGCCCCGAGAAGCTGGATCTGAACCTAGCAGCAGCTGTACATAAAGAGATGTTCATTATGGTGCAGGAAGAGCGGCGTCTACGAAAGGCTCTACTGGAAAAGGTGAGTGGTGGTGCTTTTGATCAGCCTGGTAAAGGTTGGGAAAGACAAGGATAACTTCCAGGGATAGATGTAACCTTTATTCTTGGAGTGTAGTGAAAAGAGCTTGGCACACCTGACTTGAAAGCCACATTCTATTTTCAGTGTTTCAGTGCCTGACAACCTTACACAGGTTAGTTTGCTTCACTGAGGGTAAGCTTCCTCATCTGAAAAATGGAAATTCTGTTTGTCTTTTTAGATAGCTGAGTGAGTTATGAGTTACGGATATTTGTTCAGTAATGTAGGCTATGGTTATAGTTGCTATTACCTTTATACAAATGACCCACTAAAATAGGCAGGCATATGAAACCCCTGTTGCTGATCATTTTGATCACTTCATCAAATTGCTTAAAATTAAGTGATAGTCTCACTTTCCCACTCTGTAAAATGCTAATAAATTCCTAAGCTTCATTGTGTTTGTTCTCAAGACAATAGACTTTCTCTGCATAACAGCCCTGGCTGTCCTGGAACTCACTCTGTAGACCAGGTTGGCATCTAACCCAGAGATCCCTGTCTATGCCTCCCAAGTGAAAAGGCTTGGAGCACCACTTCCAGCTTAAGCTGGTATTTGTAATGGTAGTTGTAAAGCTTGAGTGAATTGATATTTGTAAAAAGAATCTATTATTACCCTTTTAGTGTAGTAGCTGCTAATGTTAGTAGTATTAATGCGTGAAGAAAATGAAGTATGAAATGTTTTTTAGGAAATTCTGTTTTATTTACTTACTGAGATGGTATTTTTTGTTCCTTCATAATCTCCTGAGTCCTGAAATTAATAGGTCTGCCCCACCATACCTAGCTACTTTCCTGAATTTCCTTTTTAAACATTTGTTGTTGTAATTTATGGTGGAGTGTAATAGTGCATGCACACCTTTTATTCCAGTGCCAGAGGCAGGCAGATCTCTATGAATTTGAGAGCAGCCTGGTCTATATAGTGAGTTCCAGGTCAGCCAAGGTTACATAGTAAGCTCTTGTCTCAAAGGGGGAACGAGTTCTATTTATTTTTATTTGTATGAGTATTTTGCCTACACATATGTGAGTGTATTGTGTGTATGCAGTATTCATGGAGGCCAAAAGAGGGGTGTTAGATCCCCAGGAACTGAAATTACAGTTGTGAGCTGCTTTATGGGTACTGGGGACTGAACCCAGGTTCTCTGCAACAGCAACAAGTGCTCTTAACTGCTGAGCCATCTCTCCAGCACCCTTAGCTATTTTCTCAATTTCTAATGTTCTGTTAACTTGACTAAAATAATGTCGAATAGAAAGTGATCTTACTTCAGTAGATTCTCCATAAGCATGTGTCAGTTGTGTGTGGATGAATGGATGGGTTAGGGAACTGCTGTAGTGAAGATCCTCTTGAGATGATGTAGGAGGTTTAGTATTATAGTTAGTGGCAGAGTGCTTCCTAGCATGTGGAACACACTGGGTTTGATCACCAGCATTACAAAAGAAAGAAAAGATCACAAAAGAATGCTGATCCTAAGGGATCCTGAGAGGCCTGTTTTGGGGGGATAATGCATTTTTTAGTTTAAAGTTCATATACATGTTGGCTATGGTAGTGCATGCCTATAATCTCAGCATTTAGCAAGCAGGGAGAAGAGGATTACCCTAAGTTTCAGGCCAGCCCAGGCCAAGACTTGTCATAAAACATACACACATAGATATATACTCATAACTTTGTGTGAGTGTTAGATATAGGCCAGGTTTCAGCTACAGTAATATTGGAAGCCTGGGGCTTCTCATTTGTTGTTAGTAAATAGCTTGGCTTTTTCATGGACTTACTCTATTATTAAATGATGGTCCCATGCTATACCACAATATGAAAAGAAACGAAATCAAGATTTAAAGAAAAGAGGCTACCTTCCCATTTGGACAGAATTTTGTACATTTGGCACTTAACTCAGATGGGTTCTGGACACACACACACACACACACACACACACACACCCCAATCTTGAGATCTTTTAGATATGATGTGTGTTTTTGAATATTTTTATGGAGATGACTTAGTATGTCTATGTCTGTGATCTGAAGAAATCTAGGGGCTTCACCCTTCTAACATTCTCTAGCTTTGGATTCAGAATTATCTGCAGTTAAATCCTTACTTTGACAAGCTGCTGGCTTTCTCTGTTATCCTTTAGTAAAATGAGATATGCTTATGAGATGCATATTCTTACCTTAAAACTAGAGCTAATAATGTTTGTTGAGTACTTCATAATTCATAGTGTTAATATATCAAGTACTTAATTGAAATATTTAGAACAATTGAACAAGAATGATAGTTACTGCAGACAAGTGAAGCAAACAGATTGAGAAAGATTTAAATAACTTCTCATGATGAATGGGGGATCACAGCCACATTAGCAGCAGTTTGATTTTAAAGTTGGTATGTAAAACAAAACTTATTGAAGCCAGCATTTTTTCTTAAAATTCCTAAAATTGCTCATAATTTTGTCTTTTAGTGACTTCAGTATATTTGCATATTTGGCATTTCTTCATGGATTGCTTTATTTTTATATATTAAAAAACTATGTAGTTGTGTTTCTGTAAGTTCTATTGGTGCATAGTGTTTCCATTTACTAAGCATTAGTATCTGGAATATAGTGAATGTTAGTGGCTAAAGCCAGCATTGTTTCCTAGAACAAACCTTACATTTCCACCTCTCTGCTGCTTAGGTCCACATTCTTTATCTCTCTCACTTACAGGCCTTTTGTTAGTCTAATCTTTTTTAATTTTTGTTTTAAATATTTGATTGGTTTTTTTTATTATCGCGTGGGTGCACAGGCAGTGATGAGCCTGTGGAGGTCAGAGGACAACTTTTGGGAGTCTGTTTTCTCCTTCTACCTAAAAACATGGGTTCTGGGAATTGAATTCAGATTTCCAGACTTGTATAACAAGTGCCTTTGCCTATGCAGTCATCTCCCTTGTGTCCTTGGTTTTGTGAGACTACAGCTTGCTGGCATTGGAGTTCACAGTAATCCTTCTGCCTCAGCCTTCTGAAGGCTGAATTACAAGCCTTTGTCACATTGCCTAGCTCCTAATCTGAATCTTATCCAGATTTTTCTATCTTTATGCTTTTTTGTTTGTTTGTTTGTTTTTTGGCCTTAAAATCCACATTGATCTGATCAATCCTGATTCTTCTGAACCTGCTTTGAGATTGTGGACTTGACAGAGGGCAGATGTGATGTGAAATTTGGCCTTCTAGTCTTCATGACCGTCATCATAGATTTAAGTTACTCTGTGATAGCTGAGATGGGGGTTTCTACCACCAGTCTGGTTCTGAATAATGTGTGGGTTGTATACCCCCAGGGTATCACTGAGGCTGAGCGAGAAGCTTTTGAGCTGCTTCCAGATGATGAACGTCAGTGCATAAAATGCAAGACCACATGTTTCCTATCTGCCCTGGCTTGCTATGACTGTCCAGATGGCCTTGTCTGCCTTTCTCACATCAATGACCTCTGCAAGTGCTCCAGTAGCCGGCAGTACCTTCGGTAAGTATAGGGCCTACCTGAAGAAAGTAGGAGAATGCAAAGTCGGGCTAAAATGTGCTTTTTCTGGTCCTTTTCCAGGTACCGATACACCTTGGATGAGCTCCCTGCCATGCTGCATAAACTGAAAGTTCGAGCTGAGTCCTTTGACACATGGGCTAACAAAGTACGAGTGGCCCTGGAGGTGGAAGATGGGCGGAAGCGCAGTGAGTGATTGCTGGGGTAGGGTGGTGGGGGTGGTGTTGGAGGGACTCTACAGACAAGTTCTATTCCTTTTTTCTTCTGTATCCCAGACCTTTCCTTCTGCCTTTACATATGCTGTGTACTCCTTGCTGCTCTCATTCTTCCTCCAGGCCTTGAAGAACTGAGAGCACTGGAATCTGAGGCCCGTGAGCGAAGGTTTCCTAACAGTGAGCTGCTACAGCGACTGAAGAACTGCCTGAGTGAGGCAGAGGCTTGTGTGTCTCGGGCTCTGGGACTGGTCAGTGGCCAGGAAGCTGGGTATGTTGGTATGAGGTGTTACAGC